ATACACACACACACACACACACACACACACACACACACACACACATAAATATACAAAATAATACAATATTCTATTATAAACTTATATAAATTCCCATCTTTTTAATTTTTTATTTATTTAGATGTTTTAAGATTTATTGAATATAGATTTTATTGGAAAAATATACTCATTAAGAATGTATATTTTGCAGTGTATATTACACATAGAATATATATATATATATAAGTAATAACCTTGATGTAGATGTAAAAAACATGAATTGAGATAAGGGAATGCACATAAAAATAAATAAATAAATAAATAAAATAAATTTTCGTTTGGTTTGTGTGGTGGAAATTCATCTGTAAAATAAAATCTTTGTGTCTGTGTCAAAACACGCAAACTACTTTTTCTCAGAAGCAATGTTTTCCTCCAAAAGCACAGAAAGGGCCATTGTTTTCCATTCGACCTTGTAGAGTTCAGATGTTGGAAAGAATATTACATTTCACATGAATTAAAAAATTAATACAAAAATTAATGATTTGTGAATACAACTGATAATCAGAAACATACTGGCTCACTTGCATGTACTGTATATGTTAAAATGATACGCAAATCAGATACCTTTAGGTTAGAAGAATGAATATATTTTTCCACATTTGAAGATCCATGAAGTAGACTTTACTGAAGAAATGGTTTAATAACAAAATGGTTCACCCAAAAATGAAAATGTGCTCACCCTAAGCTCATCCAAGATGTAGTTGAGTTTGTTTCTTCATAAGATTTGGAGAAATGTAGCATTGTATCTCTTGCGCACCAGTGGATCATCTGCAGTGAATGGGTGCCATCAGAATGAGAGTCCAAACAGCTGATAAAAACATCACCATAATCCACAAGTAATCCACACCACTCCAGTCCATCAGTTATGTCTTGTGAAGTGAAAAGCTGCACGTTTGTACAAAAGACTATATATATATATATATATATATATATATATATATAACTCAATGCTTTTTCTCTTTCCTGCATCTTTGTATGATTATGTCGGTTTTTCTGTTGCACTGCAGCCTTCATCTGCCATTAGAGACCTACCTGTTACAGATCTGCATCCCCACACAAGCGAGTTGAGTCCTCTAGTCCTTAAGCTCCAGTGAACTCAAGATAAGGCCCAGTGTTTTCACATGTAAATGACGGCCGTATTGTTAGCACAGAGTGGCTCTGAGGGCTCCTGCAGTGTTATCTGATGGTGTGCAGGCCCTGCCGGAGAGGACGATTGAGGCTCGGGGTCCGGGACGGTGGCAGGCTCAGGTTGAACAGC